GCCTCCCAAGTAGCTGGGACCACAGGCGCCCGCCACAATGCCTGGCCATTTTTTGGTTGCAGCTGTCATTGTTGTTTAGTGGGTCTCGGCTGGGGATTCGAACCCGCCACCTTAGGTGTACGTGGCTGGCGCCTTAGCCGCTTGAGCCACAGGCGCCGAGCCGTCTTAGCCATTCTTACAGAGATTTTAGTTCACATAAATATAGGTTTTAGTTTAAAACACATTGTAAAGTAATAAGTTTTTTGTTTTAAGTTGACTTACATAGGCAAAATCTGTTGCCATATTCTTAGATTTCTTTGCAAATGAAGATTTCCTCTAAAGATACCTAAAACCGTAGTTCATTCTGGGTTTAATTTGTGAGTAATCCCTTTCAGAATGAAATTTGTATTTCATTCTGTGTTCAGTTCAGGCCCCGCCCCCCCTTGAGCCAGTCGCTTCTTTTGGTTGGTTGTAGTTCTCCTCCAGTTACTCATCTCTTACGTGAACTCAGGGAAATAAAAGTTTTATTTTGAGGATGAAGTATAGGAATATTTAACCTTTGTTTTTCTACTAATCATTTAACAATTCTGTTTCAGTGTTCAAAATAATAATAATGTAGCAGTTTGTAAACCCCACAGTTCTAGCAACTGCTAAGAAGTTTACTTCTCTAACTGAGGAGATTACTCCAGGGTATTTACTCTGTTCTCGTAAAGAAAGGAGTTAAGGAGAAAGCCTTAAAAGGAACGTTTAGATTACTGGAGTCAGGCCCCACCATGTGTTGTTTAAATTCTGTTTTGCATAATTTATTTGTTAAAGTGTTTTGGAATACTTTTAACAGTATTTGAAACAGGACAATTTTCTGAATAGGCTGGTCTTTTAACATGCCCAGATGAAAAGTGTAATTCTTCATATCACTTTTTGTAGTAATGTGCTTTTTAAGATGGGGGTTGCTGCAGATGTTAGATGATCCATGGGCCAACTCTGGCTTCCATAGGGGTAACTTTTAGTTCAGTTCATTTATTACATATTCTGCTCATTCAGGATACTACTATGTCATTTTACTGAAATAACTATGTAGGCTACAAAATAGATGCACAGGTGAGGTGAATTGTAATAGAATATGCATTGTATCTCAGTAATGCTATTATTAAAACATTTTACAATGAGGCAATCCAGGCAAAGGAAGAAAATGGCATTTTATTTGTTTTTCACAAGTTTATTGTCATCCATTTAAAAATCAGTGTGCCCCTTAGAAGTAACTGCATTTAAACAAAAAATATCTTTTCGTGTGCTTTCTCTGGATCTTGTTTATTACTGAGCCAATTCTGGACGTAAGTGTTGTGGCAAGACATATTTGGGAGATTTTTTAATTGCTTCTGTGGGAGAACACAGGAAAGAACAAATGATTGGAAATGAGCAGTAAAGAGCAGAAATGGCAAGGTAAGGGGCAGTGAGAAGAAGAGGAGAAATAAACCATGATGGATGTTTTTTTTACTTAGTCTACTATCTGTGTGTTTCCTGTCAGGGAGTCCTGCCGGTAGAACTACATATGGATGGAAGTTGGTATGAGAATTATATTTTTTCAAACCTTTTCAGCCAGGGATCTTTTTCAGTGTTCCTAGTCCCTCTGGCTTGTAGATGATTCGTTATTCGTTGGGCAGGGTTTTCCCTCATTCTCTGAGTTTCATGCACGTCCCCAGGGTCATGTCCAGCCTTCTCCTTTCCTGTGTCAGTGTCAGCCGGGAAGGTATTTTGGTAGTGTATATTGTTTAAATACCACTCTTCTGAATACTTCTTTGAACATTACACAATACATGACTTGTCAGTTTCTCTTCGTTCTGTTTTAACATTTCCTTGTACTTTTATTTCTATTTGCTAGGTACGGCATTTCAAACATAGATGCAACAATTGAAGGAACATCAGATGACATGACTGTTGTAGATGCAGCTTCATTAAGACGACAGGTATTTAATGTACCAAATAAGATACAACCCTAAATTATATTAATATTTTATCATTTTTCCCCATAGAATTCAAAAATTGGAATATTTTGTCTATCAAACTATTAGTAAGTCATAATTTATTTTCTCATTTTGATTAAAGATATTTTAAACCACCAAACTTACATGTTTTGATCAGCATAAAACAGTATTACCAAAATAGATTGATATAATTTTAGATGATGATAAAGAATCTTGCTTGATATTTTAGTAAACTGGTACAGCCATAAATTGCTTGTTTGGCTTTTAACATGTGGAGCGATCACTTTGGGGACCTTTGTTATTAACACTATGTTTGAAACTCCGTTTTGGAAGCCACACTCTCAGTCCAGGCTGTGTCTCTGTGTGCGTGTTTGTTAGACTGTGTAACAAGTCCCGTCTGGGAACTACATTATTTTTAACATGTACTTGCACAGCATCTAGAGTCACGCAGACATATGCACGTGTGGGGAGGGCACATTTGATGTCCTCAGTGTGTCTGTGCCAGTGGATGCAGAGGAAATTAGATGAAATGAAGTATTTTTAAGTAAAAATCAGGAAGGCATCACGAGCTTAGGCAGCAGTTACTCAGCCCAGGGCTTTTCAGAGTTTTGACCAACAACTGAGGATGGTGCTGTCAGCCAACACCATTTCTAGCACCTGGGGTATTAGCTGTTCAGACCTGAAGGGTCTGGGTAGCCCATCATAGGACTCACTACAATAGTTCGTTTTGTGGGACCCTCTTAGTAACTCAGGAAGGTGGACAGAGAAGGCAGCTATACCAGGTTAAAGATGAACACTGAGGAGCTTGATGACTGGAGGCTCATAGAAAGGAGGAGCCCACCTACACGTGTGCTTAGCTATTCCCACCAGAGGGCAGTGTGTGTGTAGCAGTTTGCTTGCTGTCTGATGAAGGAAGGAAGGAAGTACACCCTTTCTAACACAGAAATTTGAGGACGGGAGAGGGTATTTAAGTGAAGTTAAGCTATCATGAGTAACCCTTTTTTTGTAGATATTTTGCTCCAAATGATGAAATTGTACAGGTTTATAATAGTTCTTTTGGTAAATTATTATACATACTACTTGATAAGAATCCAGTTGCTCTAGGCCAGTGTTTTTCAACATTTTTTTATCTCCCAGCACACTTGAACCTATAGTTAAACTTCCACAGCACGCTTACGTTATGTCGATCCAAAAAAAGAATATACTTACTGTGCTTTGAACATCTTTCAAAAATAATTTAATTGATGATCTTCAGAAATTTTCACAGCACTTCAAAGACCACACCAGTTGAAAGTCACTGCTGTATGCATTAAAGCTTCTTTGTATTTTTTTGTTTTACTTAGATAATCAAACTAAATAGACGTCTACAACTTCTAGAAGAGGAGAACAAAGAACGTGCTAAAAGAGAAATGGTCATGTATTCAATTACTGTAGCATTCTGGCTGCTTAATAGCTGGCTCTGGTTTCGCCGCTAGAGGTAACATCACCTCTCAGAAATATTGTCTCAACAGCGGAAATATAAAAGATTTTCAAACTTCTTTGTTTTTGTCTTTGCATTGTATGCCGTTTTATAGTCCACGCCCTGAAAATGTATTTCTTCCAGAAAATGGGGGGAAGGACTTCTATTTGTAGACGTAAAGGTATGTTCTGTCACTCGGCTGTATTCACTTTTAACCAGTTCTGCAGCAACACCTGCTTAAAATTCTCCCTTTGCATGTTTTGTAAATAGGCTCTAGTTTTTTATTTGTTTGTTGTTTGTTTTTTAAGGAATTGAGTTTTGGCCTCATCAGTCTGCACAACTAATTCTAAATGGGAGAGAGTGTTTAGAGAATGGATTTAGAAAAATATCTGTAAAAGGAAAAACATTTTGTTTTGTTTCTCAAACACTATTAGATTAAATAGTTTTGTTAATAGACATTTTTGCATCCCTATTTCAATATTAACACTTTTGAAGTCATGGTCTGGTGCCAGATTTAAGACAATTAAACCACCTAATATTTCATGATTGCCTTCAGTAAGCATCTGTACAGATTAAATTAAAATAATTTCTAACATTTCAGCAGTTTATCTGATATGTGTGCAGTATTTTCATTCTTTCATTTTAGTTTTGCGGATCGTTTTCTATAAAGTACGTTTCTAGTAAGTCCATGTGTGAATGATTTAAAAATACAGAATAAGGTACAAACGTAGTGTGTTTAATAAACTGTCAACTAAAGCAATATTTGTCTATGGAAAGATTTTATTTCATCCTATTGTGATGAGCCGACTTTCATCTCATCTTACCTCACGTGAGTCTGTCTGTCTGTCTTGGAGCCGGTGGAGCCATCAGTGCAGGCAGCAGGGCTGCTGTAGGTCCCTTAGGTCTCTTCCTGCTGGTGGGGCGCAGGTGGCATTACAGGTGTTTTTCTAATTTATAGTATCTGTAAAGAGGTTCAGATTAAAGTACCTTGAGTTGTGTATACTTTTTTGGTTGTTATATTTACTTGCTAATTGTACTAAATCTCAGCAGAATTAAACTCACCAATAAAACCAAGTCCTGGACACCGTTAGTTCTTACAGCTTTTATTTTCTGTTTCGTGGTTTAAAAATGGGTAGAATTCAATTAGGTGCAATATTCTTCACACACCCTAAATATCTTTCTTCTAAGGCACTGAATTGTGGGAAAGGCAATTGAGGAAATTCCTCCCCTACTCAGACATAGGTAAAATCAGTGTTTATTTCTTGCTTTTCTCTCATCTTTCCATAAACTGTTAGGAGGAAGATTCTTCTCTGTACTTAGGTTTATTATGAGTTTTATGACAGTTTTTTTGTTTGTTTATTTTTGCCCATGGATGTCTTGTGACTTTCAGTAATGATGCAATTGTATTCATTCTAGCTTTATATATATTATAAGGGAATTTCTGTAACTGATCCCCACAGTTCAAACAACAAAAATGATAAAAAAAAAAAAAAAAACAGTGGGTAAAATTAGCAACTGTTTTGCTGAACAGGATGAAAAGTGTTTCAAAAAGGACAAAAATTAAATAGAAGGAATTTGGGGAGAGGAACACAAAAGTTTTTTTTTCTCCCTGATGACTCTTAACAAACACTGGAAGCCTGGAGCGTTCTCCTTTTCTCCCTTAGTGGCTGTGTGGTGGGCAGGAGATGGGATTCCCCACCTGGCCAGCGCTGCCTATGACAGTCTCACATGATGGAAGCTGGGACCCCATAGGCTTTTCCTTCAGTGGAAGATGAATGAGAGCCCTGTTCACCGTGCAAAGTGGAACCACAGAGAAACCTGCCTTTCTTGACCTTGTCTTACCTTTAACAGTAGATCAGTGTGAATCTCTTTAACTCAAGAATCGAGTTTTGATTGTCTGTTACTCCAGTTTGCTGCTTATACAAGTTGTTAATCAATGTAAAAAAACTGTTTTAGAATTGAGAGGGACAGATTTAGTCCTGGGTAGGATAATCATGAAGTACTTCTTAGAGAGGTATTTT